AGGATCTGGATATTTACAAGGTATGTCCACAGAGAGGTAAAGTATGTGGATAATGATTGTCTATGTGCAATGTTTTTTCCAAGAATTACATGTGTTTGATATTTGGATCTTATTTGCTTATGTTCTATACGTTCTAGGATAAGGATAATTATAAGGTATGTACAACACATCCAGGTATGGTATCTTTATGTATATTTTGTGTTGTGCTCTATGAATTACATGTGTTTTGCATCTCCATGGTAGTTACTTATAATCTATTTCTTACATGTCTAGGATATTTACAAAGTATGTACAGGTACAGGTATAGTATTTGGATAGTGAAAATTTATGAACTAAGGTAGCTTTAATATTAACTTGTGTTTTACAATTAAATGTTATCTACTTAAATTCCATTTGTTGTTTTTACAGATGTAAGTTGGAATAGTATTCACAGTCTTACGGCTTATGTTGTAATCCCGTTAGCTACATTGATGGCAGATCTGGTAAGTCACGCCATTTATTCATCTTGGTTAAGGAGTGCTCTGTATATTATATTTTTTGTGTACGCTATTCCATTATGTACACGATCTGGTGGCACCAGAACGGTGATGTCATCGGGTGACCTTACCCTGCTCAAACCTACGTAGAGCTGTCCATGGGTAAAACAGTCAGTTCTAAGGTCAAGCCCAACTGTCTTAATCGTTTGCCCTTGTGATTTGTGAAATGTCATTGCATATGCCAATTGCAGTGGGAACTGACGTCTGACCATTGTCATTGGCGAGCCATCGACAATCGGAAACTTGAAAAGTATTCTTGGAATTCCGTAAGAACGGTTGGAATTTGGTAAGCGAACTCTTATGAGCTGTGGGCTTATTGATTCTACCACGCATTTTGTGCCATTTACTAATCCCTGTTCTATGTTCAAATTTCTTGTTATCAGGCAAACTGCGCCAATTTTGAGGTTGAGGACGTGGTCCGGCACACCCTTGCCTTGAGCTGTGTGGAGCGTTTCCTGATCGATGAAGAAGCCATCGTCTCCGTCTTGGTCCACAGCGTCAAAACTAAGGAGTTGGTACTCACGGTTTGGAAGGCTATTAAGAACTTTGTTGTTAATAGCTTTCACGTTAACATTTAGAGTTGAGAGAATTGCTCTCTCAGCTGCAGTGTCTGGCATTCCAAGTATTTCATTTGGGTATATGTTATTAATTAAGTCTTCTAGATTTGAGTGATGTTTAAGTGGAGTGAGCGGAACTAATGTCTCTGCGTCCCTGCCTTCACCAAAGGTTTCTTCGGGAAGAGAACCGTTTCCTACTTTAAGGAGATAATTCGAATACTCGTCACTCCCTCTCGTCCTTTGTGGAATGGTGAGTTTAAATATTTTAAATTTATCCCACAGGTATGATGATTTAAGGGATACTTTGACTGTGTCTGACGGTGTACGCGCGTTTTCGGCTACAGGTGGGATCTGCCTGAAGTCACCTGAAGCTAGAAACGGTTTACCACCCATAAATTTCTCGTTCCCCATGAGGTCCTTCAGGGAGCGATCCAACATTTGAAAGATACCCTTGTGTGCCATCGGGGCTTCGTCGAAGATTATGAGTGAGGCTGATCTAATTAATTCAGCCCTTTGTGTTCCGTTACTTATATTCCAGATCGCTAGTTCGTCACTAAGGTCCAAGGGTAATCGAAACATTGAGTGAGCAGTTGAGCCGCCTTCCATGTTCAAAGCGGCTATACCGGAGCTGGCGACACAGAGTGGAATTTTGTGCTGCGACCTGAGGTAAGCTGTAATTGTCTGTAGTAGGGCTGTTTTTCCATAGCCCCCCGGCCCGTCCAAAAAGACCCCCGTAGGCTGGTCCTGTGGGATGTTACCGTCTACCAAGGTTTTCACGTGTTCTAGGACAGCACGCTGTTCTTCGGTTAATCTAGGTAACCATTCTTCGTATATCTGTCGTTGAGACTCTTCACCGTAAGCAAGGTATTGTCTACCAAGCTCTGTTGTATCATCGTCAACGTGAGGTAGGCCGTGGGCGGTTAGGCAAGACCCATTACGTCGCAAGCACCTGTCAATATGTATAAGACCATATTTGTATGCAATTTCTGATTCCGTGTGCTTTTCCAACAGATCTTCGCAGAGCTGGGGCTTGAAAGCGTCCCAAAGGACTCTTGCTGGTGCACCAATGCTTGCCAGTGTTACAAAGAAGTTCCTGAGGCTAGGACCCACCATAAACTCTGAAGCTTGCCGGAGTGCTTCGGCATACTCCTGTTCATTGTCAATTAATCCTAGTCTGCGTGCAGTCTCTTGAAAAGATTCACAGCCTTCGCCTCCCTTTGCTTTCAGGTCGGCGAAGCCCCGGCATGGAAAAGATGACAGAAGTAATCTCAAATAGTAGAGTTCTCCCCGGTTCGGACTCACCCAGTACAATCTACAGACACATTCCCCTAGCTCACGGGGAGTGAGGTAGTGTTTGCCACTTGCGTGGTCATAGACACGTTTACCGGGGTTGCGGTTCGGCCTACTTGTGTGAATGATATAATTTTCATAGAATTGTTGGTAAGTCAAGTTTTCAAACACAGGATCGTCAGGTCTATTGAGGTACAGCAGGAGTTTGGATGTTTGAGCAAGTGCCTGTTGTTCCTCGCCTGGGCGAAAAACGACGTTATGCGCCCCTTCTAGATGCACTGGGAGCATTTCAACTGTCGGTTCTGATACTGTCAGATGAAAGCCGAGCATTCGCCAACAAGCATCACTGGCACCAACCATTCGCTTTGTAGCGTACTCCTCGGGTTCATCTTGTTGCTCGTGTAAAGGTAATATGCGCACGTTCTTGTGTGACGCCCCTTTATGCATGTATTTATAAATGTATTTAATAACGCGTCGCGTGGAGGCAATTTCCAAATTGATGTGAGCTTCATATTTCAAGAGAAGTGCTGGATTATAAGGAATGACCCAGCCCTCGTGAACTGATACTGGTCTGCCGTAATAGTATCTTTCATCTGTGTTATTGTAATTACGGCGGTAATGTACGAACCCCTTGTCATCAATGTGTGTAGTGTCTGATGCTGGTTTCGGGAAGTACTTATTGCACTTGTCCTTTTTGTCATCATAGCAGGGAAGGTCGGTGCGACCTTCTTTTCCGCACGGGCCGTGGATCATGTGTTTGAGAACAAGTTTTCGGAGACGCCCTCCTGCTTCATCACGGCTTGGTATGTCCGCTCTTATTACTTTGTCAATGTCCCGTGCTTGAGTAGGTCCCCCGTCCTCAGTCCTTATACAAATGTGCGCGTGTGGTAATCCTCTCATTTGCATCTCAATAACATATATTATGTAGGCCTTTGGACCAAACAGTGCTCCACTTCTAATGTCCCGAAGTAATTCTTTTAACTTTATGTGAAATATGCGAGCACACGTGGATGGATCGCACCTTTGACGATGCAAAGAGGATGCTTTCATCTCATCCCACCCACCACACGCCGTGAAAGTCAAAAAGTATGTGGGACCACCCTTCCGGCTAACTAAGCCCATAGCGTTCATGTATTTTTGCTTCATGTACCGTGGTCCGCCCGTGAACGTCGAAGGTAAGTAAATTTTGCCTGCTCTAGCTCCTTCTCCTTGTATTACCTCATCTTGAGCTACTTCGGCAAGTATGTCATTGTTTAAGTCGTGCATAACTTGTTGTGGTGGGTTTATTGAAGTCTGCAGTTCGTCAACTGACGCAACTCTTAATGCATTTGCATTATTTTTCTGTTGAGCGCGAGCTATGTACTGAAGCCTCTCCTCTTCTATGCGTGTGTGCATTTCCACTTGCCAAGCTTGTGAGAGGCGACCTAATTGAGTAAAACGTGGTTCTGAGAGGAGGAGGCAGCGTGCGTAACTCAGCTGGGATAATTTTCTGCCTACCTTGTCCTTCCTAGTAAATGTCCAACCTGGTGTTCCGGTGGGATAGAGAAGAGGATATTGGAATGGCTCCATTAAAGGATCAAATATATTGATCTTGGTAGGAAACCTGTCAGCCTTTTTCCACACCGTCAATGTTCGTGGCGCACCGGCAAGACATTCACCTGAACTTACTACAGCGTGAACCTCGAGACCTGGATTAGTATCCCCAAGGACTGGGCCATCCGCCTCCCTTGAAGTAACCTGGAAGTCTAATCGCGCATCTTCGGCAGGCTCCTCACTGAGGAGGCGGAAATAAGTTAGAGATGGGTTGTTTGCCAATAAATAAGACCTTGCTCCATCAATGATGATGGGGTTTAGCTTTCGCCCTTCAGCCAACGCTTTTCTCTCCGACCCATCATCTATCCACAATTTACATCCGTTAACATGTTGGCTTACATTGTCAAAGTTAGTGTGTTGTCCCCTCGCTTCGAGGCTGTAGATTTTGTGATATATTCGACCTTCGATTTTCAAAAAGGAAAGGCCAGTATTTGGGTGACGGTAGCCCCCTGAAATGTTCATTGCAGAGAGTGCAAACATATCATTGTATGCTCGAGGTCGGTCCAAAAATTCAGGGTGTGTGTAGAAATCAGCATTCAGCGGTGAAAAGTCCATGACTTTGTAGGCCCCTTTGCCACAACACCAGAGTCCAGTGTGTGTTTCCTCATGAAACAACGGGGCGTTACAATATTGACATTTGAAAATGTCGTTTGCATTAATGTTTTGGCTTTTTAGGCGGTAGGGCTCGATTTTATCTAGCAGCTCTCCAGTCCAAAAAGCCATAGGCCCATGTCTATTTACCAGTCTCTGCATATCTGCTGAGAGGTGACGTATTTTGTCTCTGGCGGGATGAGCTGCCCGGTATGTTTCCCTTTGAGCTTGTCTTGCTTCAGGATTATTTTCCACATAACGCTGCTGCGCCTCTCGATGCACCTCGGGGTATTGTTGGGAATATCGCTGCTGCGCCTTGCGATGCACCTCGGGGTGTTCCTGGTCATACAGACGTCGAGCGTCAAGTTTAGCTGCTTTGTTTTTTTCATAGTAACGACGCTGTGAATCTTGCTGCCTTTGTTTGCGTTCCTCTGCAGTGTACTGTGCCTTTCTCCCACGTTTAACTTTCTTAGGTCGTCCCCCTTTATTTTTAACACCGGGTGATGTTGTGGCTTCGGACGGATTACTTTCACCCATTAGTCGTGATGCAAGTTGTTTGCTTGGTTCCTGAGGTGCAATGGGTGTCTCCGAATCTGAATTACAATGTGGTGTAGGTGTACTTTTTGATCTTGTTTTTCGTCTGTTTGCAGGTTGGCGTGCAGCTAAAGAAGTGTCTGAATCAGGCTCAGTATTGTGTAACTTGTTTGATTTTCTGTGATTTTTCTTTGCAGGGGGTCGGCGTGCAGCAAGCGGTGTATCTGAATCAGATGTGTCCTTTGGTTGCGCAGGTTTGTCAACATTTCGTAACAGGCGAGCGGCAAGGGGAGTGTCTGAGTCAGAACCACTGGAATTTCGTGTCTCCTGGAGCCTCTGCTGCTCAAGGGACAGACGAAATCGCATGCGCACAATAGTGAAGTGTGCCGGAACGCTTCCATCCCTGTTATGGTGTATAAGCAAAAATTTAGCTAAAACCTCTAACGACTCACATAAAAATACACGGCTGGTGTTGTTTTCTGGAAATTCCTCATCGGGTAGACCAGAAATACCCACGCCCTGTGGCTCAAACACCAGGAAACCATCGTCCGATTCAACGAAGGCCACAAAACCTCGCGAGCTTCCGAAGAGGAACCCACTGTTTGGGGGCGAAGTTTTAAAAGCAGAAGTCAACTTGGAATGAAGGAAATTGTATTTTGTCTGTTCGCCATCTGAGTACAAGTATGTGTAGAGGTGCTTATTTTCTGTAACCTCAACAGTGACAAGAGGATCATTGATTGTAATTTTTTCAGGTAGGTTTGCAGGAATTGCTACTTCTTTGTTGGGAATTTCAAGCAGACTGTACAGTGTATCACCAGTGTGGATGGATTTGTCAATTTCTAGGTCAGTCCATTCTCTGTTAAGAAATGCAGCCGCTAATGCAACGGCACAGATAGGTACTTCCTGTTTGCCACCATTTTGGTTGCAAAACACTGGATCTGTGCTATGAATGGTACCAGAAGCGAGGAGAGTAGTACCTGATAGGAGTTCCTCCATATTTAAGTGTAAACAGTTCCTTTTTTTTATTTCAGCTGATGGCGCTGCTTTCGAGCGATTTGCGAAGAAAACTTCTAACTTAATAAGTAAGAAGTTCAATCCACGGCGCTATATGTAGCAGAAGGAATGATAAAACTCTCTTCAAGACAAGGTTTAGCAACGGTAAGATAGAAAGTTCAAAAGTAATTCGACGGCACTTTAGTGTTAGTGGCGCGGTTAAGATAATAAATTTGCATTTTGTTTTATGTTTAAGCTTGTGGCGCTGGAAGTTGCGTGGTCAAGGTAATAAATTTCTATTTTGTTTCAGGTTTTAGCTTGTGGTGCTGTTTTGAAGGAGTTTTGGCGCTGTTTTAAGAGAGTTGAAGATGAGTCAGAAGTTAAATCCGACGCTGCAGGTGCAGAAGAATGATACAACTTCAAAAGAAGTTGAATAAACGGTAAGTTGAAAAGCTGGAAATTTAATTCGACGGCACTGCCGTGTTAGAAGATCGGTCAAGATAATTAATTTCTATTTTCTTTTCTGTTTTAGGTTGTGGCCCTGTTTTGAGGCAAATCAGGAAGAGAGATGACTCTTACCGAGTCAGAAGTTAAATTCGACGGCGCTGTGTGCAGCAGAAAGAGTGAGGAAACTTTAGAACAAGTTGGAAAGTTAGAAGTTCAATCCAATGGCGCAGCAGTGTAAGTTGCGTGGTCAAGGTAATAAAGATCTATTTTGTTCTATGTTTTAGCTCACTGCACTGTTTTGAAGCATGTGTCAGAAGTTCAGTCGGGCAGCAGTGTGAACAGCAGAAAGAATGATGAGAGTTAAGCTTGAGAAGAAGGTTAAAAGTTAGCAGTTCAACGTGACAGTGAGTGTATGTGAACAGTAGTAAAGGAGAAGAGGACAGGAGTGCGTTCCGTGAAGCCTGTTACGCGTGACGAACAGAGCAGTCAACTTCAGCCGGCGCAGATTAGTTTTGAAAAGGCTGTTACGCGTCAGTTGAGTAAGCGGACAAGAGAAGTAATAAAACAATTGGAGTCGACGGCTTGTTTGCCGTTCGCCCGTTTGGTTTTATACGCTTCGCCAAATGACCGGAAGTAATCGAAACAACAAGATTGCGACTGCTTCCTTGGTGTTCTGCAGTATGTTTCTCTTACTTGCGTCGGGCGTCGACCTAAAGTTTTGAACAGAGTAAAATGTTTCTATTTCTTGTGTGTTTCAGAATTTGGGGGATGTATTGAAGCGGAACGTGAAATGGAGTGAAGGTAAGTGCAGCGGTACGATGAAAAGTTGGAACTTCAATGCGCCGGGGCAGCAGTGAAAAAAGTGGAGAGTGTTATTCAAAATAAAATAACACATAATTTGGAACACTGGAAATGAACCTTTTGCGAAGCCTGTTATGTGTCGTGGCGCAGGTTCACTTGCCGGAAAAACTGGCCGGAAGTGAGAAAACCAAGGAATCGGAGCTTGTTGTTCTTACTGTGGCCGCCTTGCTTCGGCCGGAAGTGAGAAAAACAAGAAATCGGCACTTGTTGTTCTTACTGTGACTTCGCGCCTTGCTTTTAGCCGCCCATGTATCACTTTGTCTGCATCTTGGCTTGGCGAGAGTTCCAGCAGGCAAGTGATATATGTGCGTTTCCAGTTCCCACCACGTGGAGGTAGCAAGGGCTTCAGGGAACCATGTTTTTTTATTTTTTTGTATTTTTTTTGGTTTTATTTGTTTTTTTGTAGTTTTCGTTGGTTTTATTAGTGTTTTTGTATTTTACTGATTTTATTTGTTTTTTTGTGTTTTTTATACCGTTTCAGATATTTTTTTAATGAATGTTTGAACAGAAAATTGTGACGAGCCTGATGTATTCTTAAGTAAGTAGGCATCATGGAAATTTTAACCTGTTTCATTTCAAGTTGGTAGGCATCATAGAAATTTTACTCTGTTTCATTTGTCAAAATAGTTAGAAGATGATGAACAGCGTATCTGAATGCTGCAGTCCTATTTGATACTTTTTTCAGCGTCTCAGTTGCCTTCTGAAATTTTGTAATAAAGTGCCCTGAGGCCTTAGCAATTCCTTGTTCGTAACCGACCATTTCTTTGTCTTCTTTTATTGACTTTACGATTTTTTCACCAGCACTGTTAACAAGGTTCAAGAAATTTTTATTTGCCCCTTCTGTATTTGCAACTTTTGAGATGCTGGGGCCTAGGTCAATATACTCCAGCATGCAAGAGGTGCTGATAGCATTCAATTCGTCATTGAGAGTTTTCCATTTGACAAGCTTCTCTTGCATAACCTTTCTGAACTTAATATGTTCATCGATTTTCTCTAGGCGAGCTCCCAATAAATCTTTCAGAGTTGAAAGACGTCTTTTCAGCTGACTGTAATCGGAATTTTTCTTTTTTAGAATTACTTCTGCATGCATTGCTGTTAGGGTCATGGAAGTGTTCAAAGTTTCGTCAGAAAGATCAAATTCATTGAAAATATCTTGAAGTTCGTCAATTTTATCCGGTTCATCAGATTTAGGTGAGTCCTCCTGTTCTTGCTTATCAGGTATGTCAAGTTTATCAATTCCAAGCTCGTCAGACTTTAGTAAGTCATGGGCCGAGTGTTCAGGTAAGTCAAAAGGTCCAGGCTCGTCAGACTTAAGTAAGTCATGGGCCGGGTGTTCAGGTAAGTCAAAAGGTTTTTCACCTGTATCTGTCTTTTCATTCAATTCACAATTGTTTTTAATTTTTTTGTTGCAGGTGGATTCGTCGAATGAATCGGAGTCGTCATCCTCACGGGATCGTTTGAAACTATCCATGGTGCAGTTTGATGTTTTGTGTTAAAGAACGAAGCGTATGCTAGAGAAACGAGAGTGTGAGGGGACAGGACGGTAAGTCGATGCAGCGCTGAGCAGAAAAGAGCGGACAGTGATGTGAGAGAGAGACGATGACGGGAGTGAAAAAAATATGCTGTTGCGAGGTGAAAGGACGGTAAGTCGATGCAGCGCTGAGCAGAGAAGAGCGGACAGTGATGTGAGAGACAGACGATGGCGGGAGTGAAAATAATATGCTGTTGCGAGGTGAAAATATAGTAAATTGGTGCGTGTCCGAGCAGAGAACAGCAGAGAGTGGTGGTCAGGAAAGCGCAATCAGAGTTTGATATTCTGTGTTAAAGAACGAAGCTTATGTTGGAGAAAAGAGAGTGTGAGGGGACAAGACGGTAAGCCGATGCCGAGCTGAGCACAATCAGAGAATAACAGGCGACGACACAAAGAGAGTGTCGCGATAACTTGTTGGCCCGCTAATAAACGTTTTCTGTGATGTATGTACGGGTGTTTAGTAGAAGCCTGTTACGCGAGATCGATATTGAGTAACTACGATATATAGCTGTCACGCAGCAAATTTTCTTTGAAAATAATCTTAATCCCTTTGTGTGTTTCAGAGGACACGTGTTTCGGCGAAGCCTGTTACGCGTGATCGGGCTAACGGCTCAAGCGCGGTAAAAACAATTAAGACATTCTTGAGTATGTAGATTTCAAAGTGGTCTTTTAGAACACAAATACAGGCCGAGTACGTGTTTCATCAACGTCCGGCAGAAAAAGTTGTTTTTTTCAAGTTGTTGCCATGCAAACCGGAAATGAAAGGTTTTCGAGGGGTTACAGATCTTGTAGCGATCTGCAAATTTCAGAGTGGTCTTTTAGAACACAAATACAGGCCGAGTACGATTTTTATCAACGTCCGGCAAAAAAAGTTGTTTTTTACCAGTTTTAGCCATGCCGGAAATGAAAGGTTTTCGAGGGGTTACAGATCTTGTAGCGATCTGCAAATTTCAGAGTGGTCTTTTAGAACACAAATACAGGCCGAGTACGATTTTTATCAACGTCCGGCAAAAAAAGTTGTTTTTTACCAGTTTTAGCCATGCAAACCGGAAATGAAAGGTTTTCGAGGGGTTACAGATCTTGTAGCGATCTGCAAATTTCAAAGTGGTCTTTTAGAACACAAATACAGGCTGAGTACAAGTTTCATCAACGTCCGGCAAAAAAAGTTGTTTTTTACCAGTTTTAGCCATGCACACCGGAAATGCCATGTTTTCAAGGTGTTACAAATCTCGTAGCGTTCTGTAAATTTCAGAGTGGTCTTTTAGAACACAAATACAGGCCGAGTACGATTTTTATCAACGTCCGGCAAAAAAAGTTGTTTTTTACCAGTTTTAGCCATGCACACCGGAAATGCCATGTTTTCAAGGTGTTACAAATCTCGTAGCGTTCTATTTCAGAGTGGTCTTTTAGAACACAAATACAGGCCGAGTACGATTTTTATCAACGTCCGGCAAAAAAAGTTGTTTTTTACCAGTTTTAGCCATGAACACCGGAAATGCCATGTTTTCAAGGTGTTACAAATCTCGTAGCGTTCTGTAAATTTCAGAGTGGTCTTTCAGAACACATATAAAGGTCAAGTACTAGTTTCATCAACGTCCGGCAAAAAAAGTTGTTTTTTACCAGTTTTAGCCCTGCAAACCGGAAATGCCATGTTTTCATGGTGTTACAAATCTTGAAGCGTTCTGTAAATTTCAGAGTGGTCTTTCAGAACACAAATAAAGGTCGAGTACGAGTTTCATCAACGTCCGGCAAGGAAGGTTTTTTTTTTCCTCGTTGTGCGCCTGGGCTTTGCGCCGGGCTTTTTGTTGGAACGCTAAACCCGGTTTTACGAGAAAGCGGTACATTTCAGGGGAAAATGCCAAAGAACAAAAAGCACAAACGCTAGAAGTGCGGCAGGACGGCGAAACAGCAAGTCCCGCCACCATAGTCCGATTATACGGGGATAGTGTCCTTAGGCATGATGCCTTACCTCTTGTTGGAATCCTTCAACCCGCTTTTACGAGAAAACAGTACATTTTAGAGAAAAATGCCACATGAC